GTAAAATCAGATTACTTCCAGACACAATAGTGTTTTGCAGTCATCAGGAGAACCGCATCTTTTATCTGGATTCCTTTAAAACACATCATGCATATGATTACTCATAAGAAATAAAGTGACGCAAAGACATTTTGCAAAGTGCCTACAGCAGTGTAAAACCTTGCCTTTCCTTAGCCTCATCACCTTTTCTTCTACCAAAGATCTGTGGAAGTTTATTTTACCCTGGGGACCAAGACCTATAATGCTGTAATGTTATTTTAAAAAGAAACAGTATTCATAGGAACAGCATGTGTTTAAATGGGCCAATACATTGAATATTTGTATACAATTCCTGCTCTGAGGTAATGCTATGAGATTCTTTGCCCTGCACAGTAACTAAATAACCATAAATGATCTTTCATGCATATGCAAATCTATCCCTTTAAGCACCTTATTAATTATTTCAAAGATACTTGGAGGTCACCACTCATGGAAATTTCTATGCATGAAGCCTCATTAGTACAAGACACCATACAGAGAGATGGGATAGATTTTTGCTGCCATTTAGCAAGGGCAGAGAGAGTATAATCTGTAGCGTTTGCTTTTTTATTTTTATGACCAATAAAATCCAGCCAGCTCCTATCTGTAAGTCCTTGCTCTGAGCTGATACAGTGGGTTTGAATCTTGGGGCTTCTGCTACACTACTCTCAATAGCTAATCCTATCAATGCACTAGTTATCATGCTCAGAACTGCAGTCCTCAACGCTGGCTGTTCTCAGCTGGAGTAGTGCTGCCTGGCAGCATTAGCAGCTAAGCACTAAGAAATTAATGTTGTTCTTCTAAAAATTACAGCAATGACACATTTTGTGTTGGAACAAAGCAAACCTATGGAATTATGAAGGTGATGTATCACAGCTCATCAGCTGAGATGATAGCCTTCTTCTGAGCATGTATTATCTCCTGCTTAATTAGGCCACATAACAGAAATCAAAGAAAAGCAAGGATATAACCATACAAAATACCTGAACGCAGTAACAAAATGCATCTTCTGCTATATCTGTACCAGGAAGCAAGAAATTGAACCTACTTGAGAAGCACTGTTTATCTGAAATCCCTAGATGCTTTCAAGCTCAAGTTATCATACACATGTGATGATAATGCTGATCTTGTCTGTCACTGTGACCCTTTGCTGTAGCAGCTGCTGTTTATTTTTATTCTGTTGTGTGTGGTGCTTTCACCTCTAGATTGATCCAATAAAAGATATTAAAAACTTGCTATGTTGGTACATTCCCTTGATAAAAATCAGGAACAGTGAGTCAAATGTTAACAGAAACTTCAGGCTATGTTCATTATGTTATCTCTATTTTTGAAAAACACTAGAATGAATGGAACTAATTGGAAGTGCAAACAATTTAAATAGGCTTAATTACAAAACCAAACCCTCCTGTACAGTTCTAGGGCAATGTGTGCACACATGCCTTGAAGAAATGGGGTAGTTTTTAAGGAAATCTGTTCTTACTGAAATGGAAAATAAAATAATTTTTACAAAGTCCAAAGTCAGAGTATTAGTATTTTGTATTCAAGACACCATATATGCTATTTCAGTATTAGTCCGTGATGTTTAAAAATACATGTATTAATACAGACTGTTTTGATCTGTCTGTGTAACCTGATCACCTACCATGACATAAACCTCATTACAGTAAATACAACTTTGTCTTGTATTCCTTTTAGAAGCAGGCTCAAATCAACCTCTAACCTTTCAATAAAGCTCAGGTCTAATATTTTTTGCTCTGAGTCATGCTCTGTCAGATATAACATGTATTAAACCAACACTGACACGGTAAGAAAGAGAAGTCTTTTCTTAGCATGTCCCATGATATTCATTCCTGTCAAGTGAATTCATTTTAGGCTTTAACTGAGGTAATTAGAGAAAGTTGTGTCAACAGTGCTTTACCATCCTCACATGCAAATACAAACTGGAAAGTGCAGTTGCAAAAATTAAGATTGCTAACTGTAGACTGCAAAAATGCTATCTTATACTATAAAGTAAGAATGCCAAGATAAGTGAAAAAGAAAATAACAGGATACTGTTTTGAATGTTTCTCAATTGAACTCATTGCTGAGGAAAGCCACCAGATCCATAGCTATGAAGCAGGCTAAAATCCTCTGTAGCTGAACAGTAAGAAAGAAAGGGTTGGCAACTCATGCATTACTCTTCTTCACAGGTCTGATGCAACCTCAGCCTCATGACTTTCTCAAAGAACAAAGAATAGTCATCAGTTCCTAACTCCAATGTAACCTGGTATTTTCTTGCATACCAGAACATAGCTGCAGAAATGAATCACTGAAGTTGTAATAGCACTGCTTAAATTCTTCATCCTGCAAAGCACTCTGAAAGATAATGCTTACAAATGCCTTTTTTGGTACAGAACTGATAACACAGCAGACTGATGGAGGTAGAAATCAATTTTAGGTTTAGATGGAATATTATTTAAAAGTGCTGAATACTCATACACTGTGACTGAGAACCTCTCCAACACAAAGCATGCCATCGCAGTATAATGTCAATACTTCTTAGAGATAATCAGATTGGCTCTGAGCAAGCAGGTATGCCTAGACAGCACCACACACCACTGTGCAGAGACACTAGCACAGATCTCAAAGCAGTATTTGCCTTGTCAGTCCTCATCAGCCTACCAGAAGTGTCAAAGAGCCCATAATATGTGCTATACTGACACAACTATATTTCTTTCCCTTCAGCATTACAATTCAGCTTTACCTCTAGAAACTCTGTACTGCACAGCAGGGCACTACACTGTGGCAAACCTAAACTATGACCTCCACTGGCACAGGACAGCACCTCTGCAGAAATTTTTCCAAGAAACATTCTTATTAATAGGAGCTCAGAGAGAAAATGTATCAGTTATAGTATTATTATTACTACTGCTATTAGTACCATCTTAATGTATAGTATTCTAAAAACAACTTTCCTATTTGGGGAGTCCTGAAACTTTTAAAACTTCCATATTTAGCTATTTTAACACTTAAAGTATAACCCAGCTAAGGCTAGATTCACAGCAACAGCTGCTTTTCCATTACCACAGCTGAACACTATCTCACGTGAACAGCAGAAGTACCATTTATCTTTGCACATCTTTTACAATATTCCTTTCTCAGGCCAAGCCAATGTCTTCCTCACCATGCAAAGACTGAAATCGCATCTCTGAGCATTTCACTCTGTCTTCTTGCATCTTCCCCTCATGCCATACCTACTCTGTTTCTACTGCTCAATTCCCATAGAGTTCAACACATAGAGGAGAGAAAAAAACTAGCCTGCTACTGCCAGGCAGGGTTAAAAACTTTTGCAAACTTCTTAGTCTCCTCTTTGAGAAAAAAAAAAAAGACAGACAAAACTTCTGAACAGAAGTAGAGTTAATTAGAGCTGCAAAAATCCTAATACAAGTTTTGTGGAGCATGACTAGCAATGGGTTTACAGACAGAAGTTGTGTAAGGGTCATTAGTTCAACATAACACCTAAACTGGAGGAAACTCTGTGATGCTAGCCATGGCAGCAAGAAGGCTCACAAGAGAGGAGGAAGATGAGTTGCTTGCTGCACCACTGGAACAACTGATCAACTTAGGGAGCTAAAAGGAAAAGAGGAAGAGAACTGATAAAAAAAGAGGGAAAAAAGGATGGATCCATCTCAAGTAGCTGATTAATTTGTGTGGGAGCAGAAAATGGGTTAAATTTTGGAGAAGCAAGGAAGGAGGCTCAGCGTACAGACTGCCACACAGTACTATAGTAATGTCAAGGTCAAGGAAAGAGAACTGGGTATAAAGTTCCTGTCAAGTTCTTAATGACAAAATTTCTTACACAATGTTATAAAGTGTTTCATGCAGTATGAGATCAGTGTGTAAATGCAGTAGCAGAGCAAACTGTTGGGGTGTAAGTAAAATGAGACCTGGTGAGACAGCACATAAACAGCAATTTGAGTGGAAGGTGATGACCATTGCTATCCTGCTCCTGAAGCAATTAAAACCAAGTGAGTTTAATGGTTTTTACTACTGTTCTTTCACGTTCTTACTGTTCTAACATGTTCTCACAGTAAGTAAATGCCACTCTCCTAAGAAATTTTGTCTTTTTTTTCCCCTATCTAGTAATTTGAAATCTATTTGCCAGCCATTCATGTAATCAGGCAAATCTATCTTCCGTTCAGCTTCTAATATGCTGGAAAATTATACAGTACTTGTGAGCACATGTTCAAACATAGCAACACGAAAAATAAATTCTAATTTTTTTGTTCACAGCAAAATTTTTGAGAATTTGCAATGGAATCAATTCTCAAAACATGTCTTCAGGTTCAGTGTAAGCCTTTATTTTGTTAAGTTAAACCGTCTCCTGCTCAGGTAGAACAGATAATCCACCATCTTCTCAAGTAGAGATGGCAGATGTCATTTCATTCAATGACATTCAAGCTGACAATTAGTAGCAATAACTTCATCAACAGGAAGGCTATTTGAAATTCCCATTGCAGTCCTCTTTTTATTAGTACTTGAAGACAGGCCAAGAAAGTTAACACTTTACTTAATTTGAAAGTGGAAATGTGGAAGTCAAGGTGATATTTTTTAACTAGAGTGTAATGCTATCATCTGCTAACATTTTGTGATTATAAAATTCTAATGTAAAGAAAATATCACACAGTATCACAGTATACTAGAGATTGGAAGGGACCTCAAAAGATCATCTAGTCCAATCCCCCTGCCGGAGCAGGAAAGTATGCATTTGCTTTTAAAAGAAATGCCCTTTCGAATCCAGTTAATTCCTCAGTTCACATGTCTAGCAAGAAAGGCTCCGATATTCAAATATTTTCTCCATTAAATTAAACAAGTCATATGAAAACAGTATGATTCCACACATATATTCAAAACTAATAGGTGATTAAAAAAAAAAAATCTTGACATGAAATCAAAATCACATAAATTAAAAACCAAAAAAAAAAAAATCAGTTTAAACATACCTACACAAGGGAGAGAATAGCCAAGCTCTGGGTCATGGATGAACTGGCGGTCATTCAGCATAGTCACACAGTACAAGTGGAAACAGTCTAGGCAAATGACATGGCGATGCACACACTGGAACACAAGCACAGGACTCCTGTAAAAAACAAAAAACAAACAAAAAAAAAAAAACAAGAACAAAAAAAATCCAGTGAAAATGATTAATAAGGATGGGATCAAATCTGCAAACTGGCCACAGCCAGGAGAGGCAGCACCTTCCAATATTCTGCTCAGGACCAGCACACTGGAGATGAAAGAAAAAATGAGTAAGTTAGGAAATATTACATACAGGTGAAATGTGCCTTCACTGCAGTCTTCACTGCAGGAACACCTGATCGGTTTGCTCTAATTTTGCAGGTTAACTTCTGCTAACTCCTGATGGACGTACCTTAACTGTTAATTCTGAAACAATGACTATGAACACCTTGATAAAGCACTGTACTCTGTTATCCTATATTGCTTGCTTATCTCTCCTTCTTGAAGAGTATTATCAACCTTGAGTATCAAAACTGGAAAACTTGAGATATGTATAAGCTGAGAAAAATGATGAACTACTTTTATTTGTCTGTGGGCAAACAAACAAATGGGTTATAGGTTAACATTTTTAGTAACTATGAAGAAAAGGAATTATTTTTAAAAGTAAAAGGACAAATTTTCACATATTCATGGTACTCCAGGATACAGGTATTAAAATACAACATCAAATACAGTAGTACTTGTGACAAAATCATTAGAGTTAACAATACTCCTTTAGCTTCTATAAATTCTGCTAGACGATGCTATGAAAACCCACTGAAATAGTAAATCATCAAGCCCTCAATGTAAGAATACAACTGCAAAATGTAATCAATAATAATTTCAGATACTGTATATAAGCATTTAATCTTCCATGAAAATATGCTTTAGAGCTGCACATACTATAGAATTCATGGCAGTGTGTTGGTATCTCCAAAAATACAATTTCTGTGTTTTAAGGATTTTGTTGAATAAAGCAGATTAGAAACTGAATTAAATAAAACCTCCCCATTACTAATCCTTATTAGTTACCCCCTTGCTGTTCTGAATGTAACAAATAATAATTTTTAAAAGACAGCTGTTAGGCAAAATGAGAAGCTGATCTATATCATTTTAGATCTGGATGGTCCCAAAATCATTATAGAGAACAGGAGGAGCAGTCATCTTGTCCTTTGGGACAAAAGTCCCCAGTGTTCACCAGATAAATGAAACCTTAAGCAAAACATCCCAAATATTTCTTTCTGAAATGCAGATATAATTAAAATTTCCTATAACTTTAATGGATACATCATTTTTAGGGTTAACTGCCCATTTTTATTACATCAGTATCTGAGTATCTTTTTTAGTTTCATGGGAAGCTCAAGGGATCTAAATTCACAACACTTTAATTTCAAAGACAAAACATATCTTATGCATAAGAACAGATCCACAATAGAAAGCCATCAGAAGTTGAATGTCTTAAAAAAAAAACCAGGCCAGAAATAAAAATGGCATTATCAACACTTCCACCTGAAGTTGTAGGAAACCAAGACTGACAGCATTTCATTATGCCAATGAACTAGTACTGCCAGTTACTAATGTAAATTATTTTTTGACAAATATTTTTGCTTCTTAATATATTACAACTGTTTTTAAATAAATGCTCCATCTCTGGCAGTGTTTAAGGCCAGGCTGGATAGAGCCTTGGGTGATATGGTGTGGGGTGAGGCGTCCCTGCCCATGACAGGGGGGTTGGAACTAGATGATCTTAGATCTCTTTTCAACACTAACCATTCTATGATTCTCTATAGTCCAGAAAAAGCACAGCTATATACCTATACGCTTAAACTGTATTGTTAGAACATTTTAAGATTAACGTTGTTCCTATCTTTTACCAGTACCAAACTTGCAAGCAACGCGCATGAACTAGCTATAAGTCTGGGTTCTGACTGTCACAAAACATGAGCTTAAGCTTTCACAGCTATTATACTGTCTGCTAATTTTGCAACCCACAGTATCTGCGGTGTAAGGCTTTGAGAAACTCAATCTGTATGCAATGCAGATTTATTCAAACACATTTGGCACTGGAACAGTCACTGTATTCCAACATTTTCAGATTTTGTATCAAAAGAAAGCACTTCTATCTTAAAAGTGATACAGAAGTTCGGTCCCTAAGATCAGTAAAGACAGAGATGTAAAGATTATATTCATAATGGCGGGATGAAACTAGTAAGTACCCATTTAGGATAACCCCAAGAGTTATTAATAGAAGCCTTGCACCAAACACAATTTATTTTAGAAAGGAGTATTATGAAAGTCAAAAAATTTGCCATATAATGTAAAAAGGGCCCTTGCTCAATCTAACATAACAGTCTAGTAATGCAAATCTGGTATATATTTTAGAAGGTATTTCATAGGTTCCATTTACATAATACATTTGGCTGAATTAGAGGCTTCATGAGAATAATATATAAGAAAAAATGTTTCTCACAGCAAGGGATAAATTGGTCCTTTTTATTCACCAATTACAAACGTAACCACTTTTAAAAATTGAAAATCCAACATTACAACGCATCACAGAGAATTCCCATAATAAGTCACTTGCTCCTGTGCTCTGATTTTGTCAGAATGTTATCAGCATGCATTTACTTAGAGAAAGAAAGGAGAATCTAAAATGTTTCTCCTTGATATTATTGCTGTCAGATACCTGTGTGGCACAACAGCGCCATAGCTGGAAGTACTACCTGGTCTACACACTCTTTCCTGAAAAGCATCACACTGCAGACAATTCTCAGATAGACTACAACAGTATACTAACTAAATAGACATACAAAGACTACATCTTTTTTAGATAAGAAGCTCACTGTGAAATAAATCTCCTGACAGTTATTAACATACTGTGAGTGAGCCCAGTGGCTATGAATGTGAGGGGCTACTTAGCATAAGGAATTATTTGCAGACATAACAGTGGATTAACTGATGTATCTTTCAATGCCTGCTGAAGAAAAATGTGGGCAACTTGTCCCTTGCTTGGTCTTTATCCTTCTTATTTTGAAAAAAAGCTTCACTGAGTAAAGGTTAAACAGCACACCACATACATCAATCCATTATTTTTTAGCAAATGTGAGTTGTCACAGTCTGAAGCACTTCAGATCAAAGAATACCTCTAAGCCTGTAGAAATCTGTGAAAAACATGTTGGACAAATCTGTGAAACCCCCTTGGGGTCATTTCTAGGTGACAGTTGGATTTTTCTCACCTCAATCTCAAAATCTTAACCAAATAATAATAAAAAAACCCTTAGCAGATGTCTGTAAGGCTGCCTTGTTGGGATTACAGTCAGCAAAGCAAAAAAACAGCCACTTGGGATTCATTTCTGTGCAGTAAATAAATCTGAATGCACACAGCTATATCACAGCCTTTAACCCCACCTATGAGTGCTATATTTATCATAGCACACTTCTGCATTTCTAATACATTTTTCCATGTTGTTAATCTTCCTGTACTTCAAAAGGCTCTCTAAGTACCACAAAATAATTTCATTTATAAACGAATTTCTATGCCATTCCTTAAGCAGCATTCAAGCAGTTTTGGCTCTACCCATGCACCAAAACAAAGTTACAATGCCTAATTATCCAAATTATTCACCTACCATGTCTTCCTCATAGAGCTGTTATAGGAAGCGTTCTAATTCGTACAAAGCTGGTGGCACACGTGGTTTTCCTGTCTAATGCGTACTGTCCACAGTCTTATGCAAAACTACTGAAAGGATTGCTCATTTATGATGCTTTAAGTTCATGGTTTTCTTACCATTAAAATACCTCCAAGTACTTCCAGTTAGAGTAGATTATTAAATTCCATTAGAAAGATGCTACTAATTATACAAAATATATAGAAAGCACAGAAAAAAATCACAGGGATTTCTCTTTTAGAATTGAGGCAGTTTGAAGGAAAGCATAGCAACAAATTCTGCCTTTTAATGAGCAATACACCATTAAGGGTATTAGAAACAGTGACCTAGCAATTGCAGACAACCTGTAAATAAGAATGCAGACCTCTAATTATTTAGACAAGGGTAGGTATGTGAAATGGGTATCATACAATAAAAAAGAAACAATGATAAAATACCAAGAAATCTCAGTTACAACTTTGCAATCAAGAACCCATATTTCAAGGACTTTTAGGAACACACTAAAAGTACATCCCTGCCTTCCCTTCCCTAAGAGATGAAAATAATTCTTCACAGACTGTGCCAATTAAAAAAAAACCTGTGTATATAAATACAGTATTCTCAGAAAACTGACACATTAAATCCACTAAAACAACCAAAAAAAATCTGGTTTTGTGTCTTTGATCACTTGCCACACAGCACATCAAAGGTCATAAGGTGAAGGTTATGAACAGCACGAGACATCACTGTGCAAGCTTACATTTTCTGGCTGTGCTTCTGTATAAAAAATGTATTCTGACCCACAGCTGTTAACTTAAAGGGGCATTGGCAAGTGAAAACTGACCTACTTTCTCCTGTATTATGTTACATGTTTTCCTCTAAAATGTGCTTTCATGTTTCTTATTTCTATTGGAAAGCAGCACCATGCGGCCAGAACCCAGGAACAGCCTGACAGCAATAAACCAGAATATAAGAAGGAAGAAGAGTCACACTTTAAATTAGCGCTCATCATGGCAAGTGCTCTTTTCAGCAGTGCTCCTGTTAACTCTATTGTTAAGGGTTTTTTTCGTGCTGTGGAAGTGACACACATTATTGCCTGTAAAATCTGTGATCACTGTGCCAGGCAACAGCATCTGCCTCCCGACAACACAGGCAAAGGAATTCAATGTTATGTGCACTGGTACGTTCATATGAGCACCCAGCATTAAATATGTGCTATGCCTGCTTGCTCAGACATGCCTTGTATGAGCTCTGTCTTCAGACAAAATAACTACTGTTGGCACTAACAGCTGAATCTTATGTATCTAGGAAAGGACAGTAATTAACCTGGAGAAGAAATTTTTCCTGTAATCTATCAGATTAGCTGTCTACAGCACTCTGCACAGCAAATAACTGATAAATCAGTCATGCTTTGAAAGGAGATCAGTAGAACCTG